AACCCACACGTAAGTATATAGACTATTGCTGATAGAGTTCTGTTCGGTACACAACGTCTTGTACCTACTTAGATACCGTACGTAGTAATTGATTTAGACTCCTAGCGAGTCCTAAAGGGCCTACTCGTAGCATCTTTGTGACAGCACTAAACTCAAACATGTTGATATTCACCAGAACTGGATCTGTCAGGAGGCTGAAGAACACCAGCTCCATGTGCAATGGAGATCCACAAACCAGATGCCAGCTGATGGCATGACCAAGATGCTTCCATGTCAGAAGCAAATCAAGTTTGTCAAACAACTACACCTTGTGGACATATGTTCAAAGGTTCAGGAGATTGAGAGATAACTTAGAGTTCATCCTTTTGTCATGGATTGACTACAGGATGAAGGGGTGTGATGGTTTATGGAGTGAAGCGGTCATGTCTGCATGTGTGCTGGTGCAGTGCTCTTGCCTGTTCCAACAGCACTTTCTGGCTGCACAACAGATACGTCATGTAAACAGACCCTGATGACTGCCGGGTGAGAGACAATCACAGAACAACACAACAGAACACAATGAATACAGATTTGACTGCTTCGCGCGGTTGCCACTGACTTACTGCCCTGCGCAGTGTTGAAGTCGTGCCTTAAGCAAAGCTCATAGACACTATTTGACTGGTTCTTGGGGATGAGCAAAGGTACAGTCCGTAAGGGTTGACAGTCACCTAAGCAAGGCTAAGGTGGTCAGGGGTAGACTATCCGGGCAAGGTGGTACAGTGAGTAGACAGAAGTCTGTTCGCGCTAAAAGCTTGGGCCACAACTTCAACTTTTGAGTGAATGTTCACACCTCAATATCTCAACAACCACATGGTGAAAATTAAATCTGATTACAGCAATTGAATGCGCAGAGTCTCAATATTTAGTTTGGTACCCCTGGGCTTGCTCACAGGCTCTGAGGTGCCTTGGCATTGAGTGGATGAGCTGCCTGATCAGTCCATTGGGTAGTGCCATCCATGCCTCTTTCATACCCTCACAAAAGCAATCCCACTCCTCTTGAGTCTCTCCAAGAGTGTCAAACTCAGGGTAGAGGTGGTGTAGCTTACGTTTGAGAGCCCACCACATGTGTTCTATAGGGTTGAGATCAGGTGAATATGGTGGTGCTTTGATAGTCCATATCCCATGGGACTCCAACCACCTCTGAGTGTACTTTGAAGTGTGTACACAGGCGTTATCCCATCCCAGCCTCTGTAGCAGCCATCACAAAATCGCGTTCACGGATAGATAGCTCAGCATTAGGGCTTCAATTTGCTGAATTGGTTGCACTGAAATCTCTCATATGGATAGAGTTATGGTGGATGAAAGTGGTAGGGCCACTGACACGATTGCATTGATGGGGCTGCACGGTCCACTTGCGCGAACACACTTCTGCCGCAGTACTGTAGTAGCCTTCGTAATAGTCGAGGTAATAGCCGTCTAGCCGGAGACCGTGACGACTGGGGGCAATGAGTAGTACAGAGTATACTGTCTGGCTCAAGAGCAAGTGAGATTCCAATAACAAAGTTGATTGACAAGGTTGAACACGATGCCATAAGGGCAGCGTGTCTACTTGCTATATACTTGATCAGGAGGACTGCTCAGATCGCTCGGTACTGAGTATACTGATCGTACCGAGTATACTGAGCGTTCCGAGTATACTGATCGTACCGAGTATACTGCTCGTGCCGAGTGAGATTGATGATCATACTGAGTATCGCCGACGCGGCCTCACTGCTCGGGTCGATCGATACTACAGTTCCTCGGCTCCTCTCGTATCGTTGCGTAGTCCTGTTCGTTCAGTGTTGTTGCGGGTTGCCCTTTGATCGTAACACGCAGTTACACCTTCACTTATTGCATATACTGCAACAGAGGGCCTTACGTCTGTACCTTCTACCTTTGGTTCCTCGCAAATGTCAGATTCAAACATGGAGTATTTATACAGGATCAAAGAGTATGGGTCCCGTCACTATTATGGTAAAACAGTTCTGAACGATTAACTTTCGCGAGCCACTCCAAGCAGCCCAATGAGAACTCAGTCGCGCCATGCTTCACAACGAACAGACGAAATACAGTTTCTCGTTCTCAATCTCCCTCCTCGGTGGAAAAGAGAATCCCAATGCAGATAATCAGAACTGTATGTACATATCGACCGCCTCGGTGGTCAACCTGTAAATCGCAAATTGGTCAATATGTCTTACGAGGGCAGAGAGCTTGCAGCACAATTGTAACTGACGCATCATGGGCAGATCACTGCGTTTGCAAGATAAATATGGGTGAGATGCAGGCCAACATAGAGAACGCACTATGTTGTTGAGATATTGATGCGGCGTCTGCCACAGGAAAGACTATGGAGCGCATGCGGATTCAATTCGCATGGCGCGTATGCGGGGCGGAGTGGCCTTTTTGCAGAAGAACTGAGGTTGACTACCGTAAAATCTCGGTCAACTGGGATATCACTACTGCACGCTAAGTGGGGGGCGGCGTCAGATATCTTAGCATCCGCTCCAATGGCAGCTGATATGTGAATGTGATGGGTCGGTTGATGGATGAAGAGGATGAGGAAGAGGAAACTGTGAGCAGACAGTCAGGAATTTGTCCATTTTGCCACCCGTTATGCACTATGTAGCTCCCATTACAGATGAGCGGCCACGTTTACCGTGACAGATTATGAAGTAAGGACGTCATGTGTGCCACGTGTTTTGATGCAGTGCTCTTACTTGTTCCAACGAGCACCTTCTGCCCTTAGCTGTACGAGACATACGTCATGTAGACGGATGCTGCTGATGGCCGGTGAGAGGCAGCACACAGAAGAACAGAACAAGAACAGAATATACTGATTTTACTGCTCTGCGCGGTTACACCTTCATTTATAGCATCTACCGCAACATTTGCGAGGTGGTCATGCATGACGTTATTCATTCCCATGTACCTTATCCACCTTGCGCACCCTCTCTTCCCTTCAGCAACTCCGTTATGTCTCTTACGTATTGAGCGGCCCTTTGTTTCTATGAAAAATCCGTATACTGCATTTTTGGAAACCTCCAAATCTCGAAATGCTATGTTCGATTCATTAGATTCGCAAGTGTCGGACCCAGGGCTGGGCTCGAACCATGATCCGCAGTGCGTCATTTCATGTCAGCCATCGAAATCGATTAGTGCGGTAGGCACCTGCAAGCGCCGTTGGCGTGCCCCGAGGACAGCCAACCCCAATAGCGCAATGTGCATCGAGGTTTCTGGGAACGAGGTATCTCACTCGCGGTGCCGCCAAATATGACGTTGAGTCTACCCGTGAAGAACGATTGGTCTGCTGTGTGGCACGGCAAAGCGGATTAGGGCGAATGGACGGGCGGGATTATAAACTAGACAATGCAAGCGGCGCACTGCTACTGTAGGTAAGCCCTAGCTTTAGCACTACGCCCGAACAGGGAATTGACATCCAACGTCTGTCATAAAAGGCCTCCCTCCACCGTCATTTTGCATCCCTCTCTTCCACCCATTACTCTACACTCTCATCCCTTTGTCGTATTCGGAAGGGACCTTATCAGTGATCCCTAGTGTCGGATGCAAGCGGATGTCGTGCTCGCTTACCTCTTTGGGACCCGAACGCGAGGAACGCTAGAGACATACTCGTTTTGTTTCCAGCACTCAGATTCCCGGTAGAAATAAGACGAGTTAGGTAAGCGCTCTCCTCATCGTCAACAAATGCAGTGTTTTGTATTCCTGGCGGCGAAATCGATTTAGATTGATTGAAATCTCGGAAGCTCGCGCCCGATTGATTGTTCATTGTCCAACTCCGTACAGTTTCATTCAAAAGGAGAACAATAAGCCACTTGGTACTTTCCGAGCCCATTGAGTTCCGATAACGAACGGCAAGGTCGCTCTGCGAACTCCCGTCCCCAAACATGGGCAACATCGATGTACCGGCAGCCTGGGAGGCACGAGCAGAAATTCCACGGAAGATCCGCGACGATTCGCTGCTCAAGGTGCAACCCCCATTACGAGGGATGCCCGCCGTGCCGCCACAGAACTCGCAGACTCTGCCCAATTTGGTGTTGACACCGAGAGAATTAGAGCTTACACAGGGTTACTCTGCCAACGAGCTACTTGCTAAGCTGAAAACAAAAGAGCTTTCGTCGGAAGAGCTCACGCGAGCATTTCTTCGCCGCGCTGCCGTAGCGCAGCTTGCTACAAACTGTTTGACGGAACTAATGTGGGATGACGCTATCCGAAGAGCAAGGTACTTAGACTCTCTACCTGAGCCTATAGGGCCGCTGCATGGTCTGCCTATCTCCGTGAAGGAACATCAAGGAACTAAAGGGGAAAATCAGCAAGCGAATGGATCCTACGTTGCGTATGTTGGCAAACACCAAGGCTCAACTCTTATATTGGATATTCTCTGGGATGCAGGCTGTGTATATTTTGCTCGCACGACACAACCTCAGACACTAATGCATCTGGAGACCGACAGCAATATCTACGGTAGGACTGTAAACCCCTACAACAGGAACTTGACCTCCGGTGGAAGCAGTGGAGGAGAAAGCGCTTTAATCGGCCTAAGGGGTAGTGTTCTAGTAAGTTCGATTGGTTTCATGATCTCTTTATTGAAAGTGCTAATCTTTATCAAGGGTCTGGGAGGAGATATTGGTGGAAGCATCAGAGTTCCCGCAGCACATTGCGGTATATACGGATTCAAGTAGGGAAGAAGCTTCTTGATCATCGTTCAGGACTGATTGTTCTAGACCCTCGGCGCAACGGCTTCCTATTGCGGGTGGGACAGACCACATGGTCGGAAGGGAAAGCATTCTTGCTACGAACGGTCCCATGGCGACCGATAGAGACTCTCTGGAACTCTTCATGAATATCGTCATTGCTTCCGAGCCCTGGAGATTGGAGCCTGCCATCAGGTTTCAACCTTGGGTCCCTTATCACTTTAGCAGGCCTCTGAAAGTTGCTGTGCAATGGTGGGATGGCGTGGTGAAGCCTCATCCACCCATGATACGTGCCCTAAGTGAGGTTTCTGAAGCCTGCAGATCAGCAGGAATGCATGTCGTCGACTGGAATTGCGAAGATTTGGACCATCGCAAAGGTTGGGAGATACTCTCTGCACTATACTTCCCAGATGGAGCAAAGGAAGTCCTCGGTTTGCTTGAAAAAGCTGGAGAACCAGTTCTGCCATTGACTAAATGGATCACCACTGCGCAGCCAACTGTGAAAGACCTCGATCTCCATGAGATGTGGCGGGTACGTACTTAAATCACAAAGCTCGCAAAGATATAATATTAACGATGATCGCAGCTCTGTACAGAAAGAGATGCGTTCCGGACGAAGTATGCGCGCCACTGGACGAATACCATGAACGAGGACGGTCACGAAGTGGATGTGATCCTTTGCCCTCCATACTTCGGCGCTGCTTCACCTCATGAAATGTCACGATATTGGGGTTATTCAAGTATATGGAACCTGTTGGACTATCCTGCTGCGGTCTTCCCAGTAACCAATGTGGACCCGAGCATTGACAAGGTTGTGGATTATCAGCCGATAAACCATGAGGATCGGTTCGTGCATGACCTGTACGACCCAGATACTTACGCAGGTGCTCCTATAAGTCTCCAAATCGTTGGGCGAAGACATCGGGACGAGAAAGTCCTTGCGGCATTAAAGGCGATTGAGCATGCGATGGGTAGAAAATGATTGCAGTTGAGCTATCAGTTTATATTGATGAGATTACTCGAATGATTTCATGTTCCTCTCACCAGAGTCATCTGCCCGTGAGGCCAATAAAATCGTGACGCAGATCGTTTACAACCCCTTGAGAGCGAGAAAAGATCTCACTAGATGTCAGCAGGGGCCACATATAGCATGAGGCATAACGTGAATACTAGCTTCAGGCGTACAGCGTTTAGTTAAGATTGAATAAAATCTTCCAATAGCCGACAACGCATCTACATTTCTTTACGAGTATTTGAAACAAGCACACTGCACGGTATCTATAGGTGGTCGTAATATTGCATATGAATCAGTTTCCTCGGTTTGGCTTTTCAGATGACAACAAATTAGTTTTCTGTAGATCTAAGATTCGCAACCGTGCCTGGTCGAGGTATCGTCTGATCTTCAGCTCCGATCAACGGTTTAACTCATTAATCGCTTGCTGCATCCTTATCAAGATGGTTATGACAAGTGCAGTCCATTGAGGAGAGGAATATTCCACCTTGGATACAGTCTGCCATGACAACTGCGAATGTGGAATCTCCTATGAGCCTTGATGAAGAGATTGCACTGGAGACAGGCATGCTTGTTGGAGCAAATGATCCAAGGAGGCAGAAGTGTAACATTGTTCGCTTTCTAGTAGAACAATAGCTGCACCTCTGCATGAACCCTCTTTGATTGGACTGCGTGCATCCAAATATATGATTCAATTTCAGCCCTGCTCTTTCTCATTGTAGCCTCGAGCTTGGTCGGTAAAACATATGCCTGCCCTTTTTGCTGTTCTTGAGTAGGGCGAGTCAATAAGCCGGAAGCAACTGAGCGAGGCTCTGCGCTATTTGGACTTTGGCAAAACAGTCCGCAAGGATTCTCCGCTACGTTCAGACAACAGAAAACAGGATCCTTACGAGCCCTTCTGAGAAGATAGTGGGCTGCATGATAATCTTTTGCAAGACTTGTCAAGCGCCTGACTAAACTCTGACTAGCTGGCCCTGACCATGATGGGATGTTCTTGGGTATCAATTGTCCCTATGGTCACCTCCTCATCGTCGCCATTGTGCACCCCACTGGTTATCTCCTCAGCCTGAACAGCAGCCGCAAATTGGCTGGACTGTGGTGCCTTGGGAGGCTCGTGGCGCGTCGCTGTCACCTGCTTCTGCGGCTTCTGTACGCGCTTTGCTGGCTGCTGTTGATGCCTGGGTACCCCATTCCAGCACCGTTGTCAGGTTGGATCTGCCGCTAGTGCCCGATCGAGTATAGGCACCTTTCTTTCACACAACCGTAGATCAGATAGTGTCACGGTTGAGGTGTCTCCATGCAGTCGGCCGCATAGGCGCTTATCCTGTTGCAGTAGTTGCAATGAATGAAGGTGTAACCGCGCAAGGCAGTAAGTCAGGGGGGAACCTCGCGAAGCAGTAGAATCAGTATATTGTGTTGTTCTTGTTCAATGTTGTATGAATGCCTCTCACTGGGCTCTCAGCAGGGTCTGTTTACATGGCGTATGTCTCGTGCAGCCAAGAGCAGGAGGTGCTTGTTGGAACGGGCAAGAGCACTGCACCAACACACTCGGTACACATGACCTCATTACTCCATAAACCGTCACATATCCGCTGATTGGTTGCTACGTCGCACGACTACATGTTGACAGCTATACGACGTCAATGTAGACATTTCCTTAGGGTTAGCTCCACTCCGTAGCATGTAGAATAGTCAGTTCAATCCTTCAATCCTTCACACATGCGTACTGTCCACGCTTCCCGACAGAGAGTCACAAATACAACACACGTGCACAACAATCATACCCATTGACAGCTGCTTCTTTGACTTCTTTGAGTTAGGTTGAAGCCAGCATCAAACTGTTTAGGAGCCGTACGCTTACGATTCGCAGCAGGTGTGGCAGGCGGCTCCTATGTGGCTGCCGAGGCGGCGGAGGGCTTCTTCGAACGCGTTGATGGCATCACAACACCAAGAAAGCTCGCGATAGTGCAATCGACGACTACAAGAAGGATTTAGAAGGCTTCAAATTTTTGAAGTAACAAAGTGTATTGATTGTTGTTGCGGTATCGGTTGGTCCGTACAGTGTCTGACTATACCCCTGACCACTACCCTGGACTAGTGTGTTACAGGTCAGGTATATAGTCGTCTCCTCCTAGCTATATAACAATACAGCGCAGTATTCCATCGACCCGATAGTCCTACGTTATAATTTACCGTAGCTATCAGTATTCTACAGTGGTCCACACCGCTACAATTGTAAGATGGAGGATCTCCGATGTTTGGGAAGTATATTTGCTAGTAATACTTGGTGGCAGGTACAGGCCACGTGACAGTTCCTCCTTCTGGTACGCAGATAACTCCTTCCAACACAAATGGTATCAGTATCGTATTTGTATGAGGATTTGCTGGTACGAAGATATTGTCGTCATCCCTTGCCTGCCCCCGCACGCTAACCGAAAACACCAGGTATTTCAGAAAACATCCACAGCCCAATAGTAGTAGAGAGACCTGTGTTGCTCTTCTAGACACCTACAGCAATAGCTTTTCCGAAAAGCTTCTCTCGCTTCATACACAGTGCCGCGATAAACATAACACCTCCTGCTACAGGAATCAGGACAAACGTCATTTGCATTGCGTGGGTGATGGCCTCACTGGCTTTCTCACGCAGCTCCCCACTCAGTTCCTTCAGCAAGGCGCTTTGTGAGCCTGCTACTGCGCTCCGAATTTCCTTTTCAGAGAAGTCGTTGCCAGCAAGAACAGCTGTCAGCTGCTTGATGGCAGTCGATTGGTAGATTTGACCAGCAAAAGCAAGCGCGATTACTTGGCCGCCAATCTGGGAAACATTCTGCATCTTGAGGCCGGCGCCCACATCTTTGAGTCTCAGAGTCAGGGTCGTGACTGTATAGCCAGTGACCATAGACAAACCGGTGCCAACGGCAACAAGTATCGACAAGCCGTAGATGGTTCCTGTCGACGAACTGGGATCGAGATAAACCATCATAAGCCCACCTCCAACAAGTAGGAATACGCTGGCGATGACGTAGATGACCATGTAGACCTTAATCAGATGGAGAAGGGATCCCGAGATGAGATTTACCGTGACACCGATGACCACAAAAGGGAGTAGACGTACGGCAGCCATGAGCGCTTCATCGTTCTTGACAAACTGAAAGTAGAGGGGGATGTAGTAGATGACGACGTAAAGCGTCGTGGTGCCGGCCGCCGTTACAACGTAGAGTAGCACCGATGTGCGGTCGCGAAGTAGATGAACAGGAAAGGCGCGGCGGCCAGGCGTAGTAAAGATAGAAAAGTATTGCTGTAAGACGTAGAGTACCAGCACTACGCCAAATGCCACAAAAGTAGCAATCGTGCGTCCGTCGTTCCATGGCCATTGGCCGCCAGCCATTGTGAAGGCCAGAAGAAAGCTGACCCACATGCCAGCGCCGAGGATGAATCCGACAACATCAATAGTAATCAAACGGGATCGGATGCTGACTCCTGGCATAGGATGAATTGGCGGGAGGTATAAGAGAAAAGCCGGAGCCGATATCGCCCCAATGACCAGGTTAATGTAGAAGGCCCAGCGCCAAGTTGCCGCAGATACGGCGAAAGCACCACCAATGACTGGCCCCAGGATGGCCCCCAGGCCCCAGAACACGCCGATCAATGACATGTAGAACCCGCGCTCTTTCTCTGTGGTCACGACGGTAAAGTATTGCAATGATCCAAGGTAGATACCACTGCCTCCAGCGCCGGCAAGGACGCGACCAACAACCAGAGCCGTCATATTCGGTGCACCACCGCAGAGAGCTGAGCCAACCTCGAACATGATCACAGTGGCTACGTAGACCCATTTCATGTTGAAGGTGTTGAAAAGGGTACCGAGCAGAAGGATAACGCACACGGAACCCAATGGGAAGCCGGCTCCGATCCAGGCGAGCTGTTCCACCTGGCCAAAGGCTTGGATGACGGGACCCTGTATATCTGCTGCTATTGTCGTGTCGAGGCCGTAGAGGAAGCAGGTGGTGTAGAGGGAGACGCAGATGAGCAACCAAGGAAAGCCGCGAATCGTCCTCTCCTTGTGTTCCATTTCCATCTCAAGGCCAACCTGGATCGATTCTGGTCCGGGATGTGATTCCCTGTTGTCTTTGCTGCCGCTGTACAGAGCTGCTGCATAGCTGGGCTGTTCGTCTGACTGCACAATCGCCGTGCTCTCGACTTTAGCAGACATTCTGGGGGAAGGAAGTGCAATTGCCAATAGGTTGAAGACCAATGAAGAAATCAGAGGTCGAGGCGCATAGGTCGTCGGTGGCAACGGCTATCTTCGGGACGGTGTGGCAGGTGTTTGCTAACATATTGTGATGACAGTGAAAGTTGCGCGCCCCAAGTACCTTTACAAACCAATAATTGCACATCGACAATAAATTTGTAATCAGGAAAAGTCCCTTATTCGTAAGCAGGGCTGCGAGCGACGTAGAGAGACTCTTGGCGAGCTCAAAGAAGTGGAAGATGGACATGGACCACTCCTTATGCTGCCGTACCACAGTACTTGCTCCACTTTCTTATAGCGTCTATACCAACAAAGTGTGGATTTTCCTTGTTGATGACGAGGGCCCAGATATATTCACAAAGGGGGTCATGATCACGTGTCTCCTAGCGCCCGTATGCGTGGGGGTGGTGTGATCGTTTCGGATTTCTTTGTGGGAGCCATGCATTGTGAAAGATTATCCAGCAAATCGGCTGACCTCTCCGAACCACTGTCCCCGGACGTTGGTCGGCACTAGCGTCTGGGCGGTGTGCATTGCCATTTCTCAACGCATCTGCAGCTGCGCAAGAGCTTCTTTCATACCGACGTACGGCTTGCCTGATAGGACGGGCGTGCTCGCACTTCTTGACGCACAGTTTGCCCGCAAAGCGTGCGAGCTCCTTTGGTTCTCTGATGCACGCGGTCGTGGAATGCTATCCCAGACCTGCAGGAGACCAGGAATGTTATCGCGGTGGGACACGTCCGCGAGGAGCAAGTTCAGGCCTTCAACAACTTCAAGAGCCTGGTTGGCTCCTTGGCCTTGATATTGCACCATGGCGTGCGCAGCATCTCCGATTAGCACGGTTCGGCCCTTGACGTACGTGGGGAGCGGCTCCTTGTCGCGGACCTGAAACAGCTGTACGTGCAGGGTGCAACTACAAGTGCAATAAAATTGTCAGCAGAGCTTAACATAACCTAAAAGGAGCAGTGGTCTTTACCGTGTCTGTGCGCGTGATGCACGCCAAACACCAACTACACCAAACTTCAACTACCACATATTTTCCGCAGTAAGAGAGCAATCGAGGCTGCAATTAGAGCTATTGAATTGCTGGACAAAGAAATTTTTTTACCTATACGGCAATAGCCAAAAAGTTTGGTGTTAATTGATCTACGTTATTGTGAACGTACCAAGCTGTTACCCAACCCCATGCAATCAAGATCATCAACCAACCCAAACTGAACCCACAACAAGAGCAGGAGCTTATATATTATATTGGCGAGCTTACAAAACAAGGACTACCTCCTGGAAGGCCTCTTGTTACAGATGCAAATCCCATGGGATCGGTCATTGTACCAATTGAGCCTGAGGCAAGAATGGAAAGTGAAATGGAGGTATTAGTATGGCGCAGCAGTAGTGCAGCCTGTCCCACAACCTAAGTGTAACCAGTCACGTGAAGGTTAGCAGGTTAACAGGTTAGCTGTAAAAATAGGGTAACAACCTCAGGATAGGACAAATGCAATCCTCTAAGGAGGTAAGGTTTCGGGCAGGGCAGCGATATTATGAGGGGAGTGCGTTTGCTAAGCTAGAGCAAGGGCAGTCGTGACAGTTTACTTAGTGCGGCGCGTAGGTTGACTACTATGTGGCCCTCTGGAGACTCGTCGTGCGTAAAACCCATGCTCTTTTATGGCTCCAGCTGCAGCTCATACGCACTTATTACCTGTTTGAACATTGGGATGAGCTTGTTTATAGCACCATAGCGTCCATCGAGCTTTGCTTAGGTGATAAACCCTACTGTTCCAGAACCTGTACCCATCCCTGAGAACTAATCGAACTGTGCTTACAAGCTTTGCTTGAAGTACAACTTAAATAGCTTTCACCACTCCTCCATCAGCTTTCCTACCCCTTCTGATGCTGCGGCATGTTTTTGTATGAGTCTGTTGAAGTTGTACTCTAAGCAAAGCTTGGAAGCATGATTTGATTGGTTCTCAGGGATGAGTACAGTTTCTGGAACAATAGGGTTTATCATAGGCTACCAGCACTTCTCGTTAAGCGGACATTGCATGTAACGCATGGGCGATGACGGTCAATGCGCACACCTATGCCATTGGAGCGAACAGCCACGCGAAACACTTCCGTGTACCGAATGCTATTGCCATCTGCCTGAACTAGGAGACCGCCGAGGGCTGCAACACATACAATATGCTGAAGCTGACACGAGAGTTGTTCCCGATGGATCGTCCACCACCAAGTACTTCGATTTCTACGAGCAAGCCTTTATCAACCATATGCTAGGCTAGCAGGACCCTTCGACAGCCCGTAGTCACATCACATACTTCACCTCGCGCAATCCGGGAGATAAATGCGGCGTAGGGCCAGCATGGGGCGGAAGTACGTGGAGTACCAACTACGATACTCATTGGTGCTGCCAGGGTACTGATATTGAGATCAACACCAAGATGCAGGACTCTGTATACTTCCGCGACGCACGACACTATATGTTGCAGTAAATGCAATAAGTGAAAGTGTAACCGCGCAGGACAGTAAGTCAGGGGTAACCGCGCGAAGCAGTAAAATCAGTATATATCGTTGTGTTGTTGTTCAGTGTTCTGTCTCTCTCACCGGGCCATCAGGGTCTGTTTACATAACGTATCTGTCGTTCAGACAGAGGTAGAAAGGGCTTGTTGGGAAGGGAAAGAGCACTGCGCCAACACACGTGGCACACATGACCTCTATACTCCATTAACCGTCACACTATACGTCAGTCTTTTCATTCCTTCTTGGACTAAGGGCGCCTCGATCGCCGTCAACGGGGCAACACAAGTAATCACAGCAACCCAGGCACGTACGCAAACCTCTCATGTACTTGGAAGTCCGGCAACTATGGTACAAGCACACTCTCAGCGAACCCTCATGCTTAATCTCGGCTCGGTGAAGCAGATGGGCACTGCAGGACTTTCCTCCAAAGGTACTGCAGATAGTAAATCAGTCAATATTAGTCCTTTTAACGCCGCTCAAGGCTTCAACTACGTCGTATACTGGGTGACAAGTGGATCTCTTCCAAGTTGAATAATCAGTACGCCCGATAGGCTAAAGAATTGGTTGGGAAGTCGTTGGCAAGACCGGCGTGCTGCGCATATCACTCACTTTGCCGAACAAGGTCCATAACACTGGCAGTTACAATGTGATGGGAATGAACGTGGACTTGAATTGCTCCTTCTCGACAAGTGCCGTGCAACTACAGCTCCCCGACACCCTTCTGCGGTCAGGACAAGACCGAAAATATATACATGCTAAAATGCGGCTAGCATGCCTTGGCTAGGTTCTTCTAAGAGCCAGTGACTGTGTACTGGGAGCTGCCTCCAGCGTTGCCCCAGCCCTCAGTGGACAGAGTCTGGTAGTTGTGTGTTCCTAGGTTCAAGCCAAGCTTAGCCCAAGCATCGAAGTGGCACTTGGTTGTCACAGTTCCGCTGCCCGGCCTCTTGTTCTGCCTATTGCTGATGTACTGCGTGAAGGTGGTCGTACCGACAATCGAGGGCTGGTTAACCTGGGTGTGCTTCCAGATGTCGTAGACGGAGCCATCGCAAGTCACTGAGCCAACCTTGGTGCCCTGAGCAGATCCAGCGCCGTTGCTGGTGTACTCCTGGATGTAATATTCCACAAGAGGGTTTTGAGTCCAGCCGTAGACGGACACAAGAACGGTGCCGGCAGTCGCGCTGGTGGAACCGCTGAAATTGATGTTCCTATTCACAGAGTTAGTACTTTGTCTGCCCCCTTTGCAATGCATCTAGACATACCTGGTAGTTCCCTTCGACCATCCCTTTCCAACGACGAAGTCACCAGCACTGGAGAACGAGACCGAGTATCCGTTGTTGGTGGGGCTGAAGTTCACATTGCCACTCGTCTTGTAGTTCTGGTTGTAGTCCTGACGGCGCACAAAGCTGGTGACGTTGGTGAGCTCGAAGTCGGGAAGGTCCTCGACTGGGTTAGCAGTTGGGGCGGCGAAGGCGCCAGCGACTGCGGACAGCGCAACGGCAATGTGAGAAAAGGCAACCATCTTGATTGTAGAAGCGCTTGATATAGCGTAGAAGTAGGTGATTGTTTCGTGAGTGCTTGATGAGTGCTTGACAACAACGACAAGACTTCGATATATATATATGCGAAAAGCTTGTCCACCGGATAAGGTATTGTGCATTATGGTCTCACTTGTGTATATTGCTCGTATCGCGGCTGCTTGCAGCCATGTGTTGCAGAGCATTTGAGCCAGATTGAGATTGATGAGCTCGTCAAGCCCTACTCCACATTCTGTAAGACTAAGGTCCGATACCGAGCATTGCATAACAAACTTCCGATTAAATGTGGGGAAGGACCGAAAGTGCGCCGTTAATGAACATTGGTACTCCTTTCAACCGTCCGTGGGTGTTTCAAATCGACGCTTCTAGTAACCACCGGTTGAATATATCTTCGAGTAACACAACTTGAGATCAGAGTATGATGTGTGAAGAGTGATCCCATACACTTTTCTGAATATCACACTGCTCATATTGCGCTGATCATGAATTGAAAGCCTTGAGCCGGTGGCAGTTCAGGTTCGCTGGTGAATGGTTGAGATTTAAAGGTTGCTCACCCTAAGTCGAATGTTAAATCTCGAACAAACCAACGCTAAGAGCACTTTTACCGCACCTGCACCGCGGCTCTTTCCACTTGGCGAGGCTTGCTGTTGCTCGGCAGGAGCTTGAACTGACAACCTGGCAGTCGCCACCACTCGCCACTGACACTGCCCAGATGAGGCGTTCGCGATTCTTCAATCAGCGACTCTATGTATGCAGAACCTAGCAGCCTACACGAAATTTGTCTCTTGTGCTTATTGCATAAGATTTTCGGATCCCTCATCAGCTGAAGGTGATGCGCACTTTGCTTCGGCTTTCTAGCCTCGTTCTTGCTATTCTCATCCGTGTTCGCTGATCCATCCAATCGTTCCCGGCCTGGAGGCAATGGGCCTGTCGAACGAGGACCTTGGCCGCACAAACGACGTTGCTACTGGGACTGTTAGCGAAGAATGAAGGTCACGGCTGGGAAGAAACTTTGGAAAGGTGATGGAATTGTGACGACTTGGTTTGGTTGGGTATATTTGTGGGGCACCGCACGTGCCGCTTGCGCCTTACTGCGCCGCTCCTTCCGCACAATCTGCAGCTGCCAGCTGTCAACATCTTCAAGAACACGAGCATACTGTGATGGCATCCATTCATTATCACGTGTTTGTGACTAAATTTTATCTCCAATAATGACTTCAATACCATGATGCGCACTCGACCTTTAAGCGTGCGCAACCCAAAGGGCATCCCCTGATTCCCAAAACCGATCGTCGTTGCAAACACAGTATCTTATTCTTCGACGATCAGATCCGGCCTGGTACGCCAGGTTCCTCGCAATGCATCGAGCACTCTTGTTACCCGAACTCGTCACAGCGATCATCAGGGCCGGCAAAACGGATCCTGGCCTGCTTTACAGCTGCTTGTTTGTCAACAAGCTGTTCTTTTTGGAAGCATGCAGGGTTCTGTGGAAAGGCTGTTATGGTATCTTTGGTGTCGGACACGTAACTCCGAAGATCAGTGACCTTGGAGGCATGGTGCTGCGCCCTAACATCGGACGTGATCGCGCACAGTTCTATGCCAACTTCGTTCGCGTGCTCGTCTTCCAGGAGGATGAGTTCAGCGGCGAAGATGATGCACGATGGCACCCTCAACTTCTCGAATTACGGTTTCCTCTTTTGGAAGACCTGAACATTTGGAAAACAAAATCAGCTGAAGAGTTCAACACAGAAGATACGATCCTCCACTACGTTCAGCCTGGCCTTCGAGACCTTCGTGTGGATGCGAGTGGCCCTCTTTCTGACTCTTTTCTCGATGAGGTCAGCCGCCTGTGTCCTAGACTCCAGCAACTTGACATCGACTTCAAGAATGTTACAATTTCGAAGAAGGGTCTTGCTCGCTTTTTGCAACAGATGTCATATTTAGAAGGTTTACACGTGGCTGCGCTGAACAAGAGTTGGTCGGCTGAGGCATTCGCCACGGTGGCTAAGTATGAGCGGCTGAAGCTCCTACATGTCCCAGCAGTCCACGACACTTGGTTCGACATCCTCGATTCGCCATCAAAGTCAGCCCTCTTTCCAGCATTGAAGTATTTTTATTGCCTAGACACGACCGGCAAAGCTCTGCGACGGTTGCACGATATGAACTCACAACTGGAGGCCCTCCATGTCTATGAAGGCAGTCTGCCAGGACCGGAAGATGTTCTTCTAGCAGCTGCACAGTTTTCCCGGCTCACGAACTTCCGTTACCATCCAGGACCTCATGCGCACATCGCGGGACAGAACGTGCTGAAGCTGGCACAGAACTGCCCTTATCTTACCTCGTTGTCCATTGGCCAGGATCAAGCAATGGCTCCAACCGGTATCGACATATCACACAGCACTTTGTACCTCTTGGCTCAGGCTTTGCCGTCTTTGAAGGAGTTGTATCTTTTCTTCGAATCAACGTCCCCTCCAGGCATTGCTTCGATTTTGTCAGCTTTCAGCCAGCATTGTCCCATGCTCAACAGACTTGAGATATCTTGCGGTTCCGACTGGCATTCGATCACCACACTGCCTAATGGCGCCTTGTTGCCCAACCTATGGACAATCACCCTTCGGCCCCAGCTGCATATGGAAGAGATTCTAACCGAGCCGGAGTTCGATCATCTGCTCAGATACTTTCAGATTTTCGCTGCTGAGTGGTTTCCGAAAGTCGAGTTCTTCAATATCGACGACGCCGATAATTGGGAGCAAGCATTCAATAACTACATGTACAACGTTGGGTACAAACGAGAGTATGGTAGTGATACCGATAGCAACGAAGGACAGGTAGATTGGAACGCTGAGGATGACGATGCAGAAACTCTTGCGAGATATCTAGCTCACCGTGTAGACCCTTTAAGTCTTTCCGGTGAATGACTTGGCAAGGCAAAGTGCAACTCTGCTACACACAAACGCATTGCAGGATCGTGACAACATCGCAGCCAGCACAGCAGCGACATTTGCATACCTTCTTGGACAGAACGGCGAATTTGTCATTCGATTCTCGAAGAAAAGCGCCTCAAATACAGGGAATACCACCAGAAGGTCTTGGAAGCGGTCGATCAGTACCAGTATTCCAAGCCACCTACCCAAGTCAACAGATCTGCGCCAGGTTAACAACTCTTGAGATGATGCAGATGGTCGCTCACCCCGATATCCAATGGATCGCTGCTCAGTCAAGAAAAAGACCTGAGACGCTTTCGCGGCATAGCATGCACCGACTATTGAGACGGCTTGATATTGCAGCCTCGACGCCTTTGCTTCGTTAAACGCGGTCTACAAGTCCGATCACGCATGTACTTGCTTGTTGTTATCCTCTCAAATTTTTTTGGTCGCAGAAAGTGGCGCCCGCCAGAGCACACGTGGGCCCGGTACCTCAAACTACCGGAATGGGCCTCCAGACGTCAATGTCAAGCTCTACCATGCTCGGCTAAGCTTTCCAGCACGACATCCAATCAGCAGTTATTTATTTGTTCCAGACCGACGGGAAGTCTGAAGTCTTGGCGTTGGCTGAAAACGGACGCCTTCGTGTAGACTATCGAAAAAAGGAACATGTGCAACGGATGGCATCATCGGCACACCGTAGCCACGAGAATCCAATCGTATTGCCAAACCACAACGCAGTTGTGCTTCTCGAAGAAGTCAAGCTGTGTGATGTGAGTTTGTCAATGCTTACATTTCCCAAGCTTTGCGCTTCTACGACGTCGTTCTTACAACCCCGAACGGAGCCTTCCCCGCCGCCCCAGATTTTTCATAATCTGGAGTGTACGAGCACTAGTCTGCCGCCATACCACGCCATCTCAGCCTCCGATGTACCAACAACAACTCCCATCGTATGCCTTACCAACGAGGCCTTTCAATGCAACAACGTGAGTGGCCAATCCGTTTCTTAGGGCCTGCATACAGTGTAGCCACTACTCGTCGCTCAGTGACCAGTCCAAGCTAGGACATCTAGATCGACGAATACAGTTGCAAACAACCCCGCTCGGCGCTCGCAAACTGTCGCTTCGAGAGCATTGGCGACAAATTGGGTGGAAGCACGCAAGCACGTAACAAGACGAGGTGGTGATCTGGATGCAATTTGAAAGGCTGGATCACGATCTTCGCCTTGTTTGCGGAAGAGTTGGCGAATCTAGGGAAATGCGGGAGGCTGGGTGGTGTTGATGGTGGTGATGGAAGCCATGGTGTTGAGAGGCATAAGTACCAGAGGACGCTTCCCTCGTAACCATCACCCAACAATCCCACTTATACACCGGTCGCTACTACCACTGTCACTTCAATATCTACCTATACCCCACTGTAGACCAATACCCTCAGTTAACATGCGTTTCTCCATCGTCGCTGTCCCGGTCATCGCCGGCCTTGCTGCCGCGCAGAACCCGTGAGTACAACGCTCTTCAGCTTCCTGCGACACGACTAACTTCACTCCAGCGTCTCCGCTGTTTCCAGCGCCCTCGCCTCCGCCGCTGCCAGTGCCGCCACTTCCCAGATCTCCAGCGCACAGTACGCTGCTTCTAGCATCCTCGCCTCCGCCTCATCTCGCGCTGCCTCTGCTGCCTCCGCCGCCTCCTCCGCCGCCTCCTCCGCCGCGTCTGTCGCCTCGTCGGCTCGCGCGAGTGCTTCCTCTGCTGCATCCCGTGCTACTAGCGCCGGCGGTGCTACGACCGGCACTGGCGCGACTGCTTCGCGCACCAGCTCTAGTGTCACCCAATTCACTGGTGCTGCCGTACCTCTTGCTGCTGAGGGTCTCACCGGTGTCGTTGCTGTTGTGATCGGTGTCGCTGCTATGTTGTAGACTGGGTGAATGAGAGAGAAGTTATTGATTTGAAAAGGTTTATGGACGGGATTAATGAGCAATTAATATGATAGACTAGATGAGAATGGAAAGTATCGATGAGTAAGTCGCACAACCATCGCCTTTACCAGTGACAATGAGAATCGGTATCATGCTCAGGCAAATGCAGCAGCCCCCATCGAGTCCATCCGCAACACAACGTCAGCACTTCACAAAGCCCATCAAACGTTTCGTTGCATAATACGTAAGTGAGAAAGCAACCAACGTGGTGAAGAACGATGTCAGCTGTAACGGTTTTGATACTCTACAAGTCAGGCCAACAGCATCAACTCACTGTTCTATGCTCACTGTGGTTAGACGCTCGCCTATTGCCCGCTTATATAGCTATCTTAGAGGTCCTCTGCATCTATCAATCAACACAGTACATTCCTCCAGTTCAAATCTTAAGATCAGCAGGTTTGAATACTTGAGTCACGCGATCCCAACGTCCTCGCATCACGATCTTCTTCGCGATTTTCCATTTTCAAACTTGACATCTCTGCTCAAGCCATATAACAAGTTTGCTTCGGAGCTGCATGAGCCGAAATTTGTGACACTGGCCATCAAAATCTACCGTATCACTCCTGAGCATTTATTCACATGTGATTGGAGAAGCATCGAAGCTTAACACCAAAACACATATTACCATACACTTATCAGTACCTCCCTTACTACCATTGGCAAGAAGATGATAACTCCAAGACGCATCGCGGTATCCCGCAAGATTATCACCGGTCTACACTCAGCCAAACAACAAACCCAACCCTGCGGTGTCGATCTTACTCTCGAGCGCATCATGACATGATCAACACCTAGCACCATCGACTTCGACAACATCAAACGCAAGACAGCAAATACCATTGAGACCCGATCCAAGTATGATGGGGCAGACGCGTTGGTGGACTTGTCTTCCGGCTCGTACCTCGTGGAATTCAATGAGAAGGTTGACATGCCCCTGGATGTCGTGGGACAGATCTTCGTTAGGAGTTCGCTGTTTCGTTCTGGCACGTCAGTTTACGCGGGAGTCATGGATAGCGGGTACAAAGGAGCTGTTGGCGCGATGCTGAAGGTCGGTCAACTCTCATGGCTTGCGATTCTTCAAGAACGCGAAGCTTGCGCAAATGGTCTTCACCAGATGGATGAGTCTGTGGAGGGATATAGTGGGGTGTATCATGGAGTGTACGGATGTGAGAGGTTTTGGTGTGATGCTGTGCCGTCGGACAAGCGAGTCCGTTTGATTAGATTATGTATATGCGGATATCTACGAGTTTCCGCCCTTAGTACCGTTCGTGGTGCAGTGCACCTGGCTCTCAATACCGCTGATACTACCACAGCTGTACAGATCTGTTCCACTCGGGCTCTTAACATCGATATTGGAGATATTGATGTTTTTGCATACCGTCGGGCTGGAGCACTGCAAGTATCCAATGAGCGGGTCGTACTTGTCGCTGGTGGTGCCCTTGAAGTTCTTGATCGTGATGTCGCTGATAGTGAGGTTCGAGGGGAACTGGTTGCACAGCGTGATGTTCTTCTGGCCGTAGCACTGGGTGATCTCGATGGCGTAGTCGACATTCGAGATGGTCATGCCGTCGTAGGTAACGTTGGCAACTTCGCCAGAGCCACCGCCACCCTGCAGGTCGCCAGAGAGCGCGGATGCGGCGCCCGGCCAGACCTTGATGCGCGCACCATCAGAAGCGTTGGACATGGATATGTTGGCGACGTAGATGTTCTTGACGATGTCAACTTCGCCAACGTACTGGCCGAGGGATCCAACAGAGATACCGTGAGAGCCGTTACAAACGAGGTTCTGCACGACGATGTCGGTGGAGTTGGGCTTGAAAGAGACGCAGTCGTCGCCGTTGTCGATGTGCGAATTCTGAATCACAATGTTGCTGCTGCGGTAGGTATCCCAGCCGTCGGTGTTCTTAGCGGGGTTCTCGCTTGTGCTGCCACCGAAGATGTCGATGTTCGAGAACACAACGTCTGTGGAGTTGGCAACGAAGGTGTACCACTGCGGGCTGTAGCGGAACTTCAGGTCCTCGATTGTCCCGCCCTTGAGACCGATAGCGCCGAAGAGGATAGGGCGCAAGATGTAGATGTCCTTGGCGTACAGGTCGTACCAAGCCTGGCCATTGCCGTCGAGAGTGCCGCCGCCGTAGACGTTAACGTCCTCGCCGCCGAGCTGGAAGAAGGTGGTGGCATTCTGGAAGGTCTGGTAGAAGGCGTTCTTTTGCCAGTAGTCGGTGTCGTTGGTGAACTTGATGGTTCCTTGAATATCTGCAAAGAAGATTAGTATCGAGTCCGAGCAATTTGCATGCATTTTGACTAACCAAGATCGATGTGCTTGAGGAAAGTAAGGTCTAGCGCAGTGCCGATGGTATAGTTCTTGTCCTTGGGGAACACGACGTGACCGCCGTTGTTGCAGCTCTTGATGGCGCTCAGGATGTTATTGGAGTCATCCTTGCCGTTGCCATTGGCCTTGACCGTGCAGGTCTTCTTGCGCGCAGGCGAAGCGGGAAACGCCTTTCCTGGGTGATGCGGCGCAATTGGGTGGTTCGGTCGCTTCGAGGGAGTGACCTTTGCATCGCGTTCCTCAACAGGTGAGGCGAGCGCCGCAGATGCGAGCGCAAATGTGAGAAGCTCGGAGACACGCATGTTGGCGACTGTGCTATGATGTCCGGGTAGATGATATTGAAAGAGCCGGTACCCTTACAATTGAGGTACAAGCTCCCCTTAATATATTCATTTCGTTCATCATTACGCCTCAATGCTCGCCCACAGCCTCCAGGACGGGAGATGAAGGCGGAGAAACTCTCGTAAGGATGTGGTTGTTTCGTGCGTTTCTCCATGGGGATCTCGTGGCGGGGAGGTGGCTAGTGGGTGGCGCTAACGGCAAAAGCTTAGCTCGCGCAAGGCTGCTGGGCACCTAGGAAATGACTTGGCGTTGTGACTGGTGGAACTTCTCTACCCCAGACCTGTCAATCTTCCCGGCGTCCACATCAAGCCGGCAGCTCGGACATTATCCTGGGGGCGTGTCGCCGCGTTATCGCTCCTCGGCTCGGAGCTTCGTGATCACAGGGCAACGATGACCCCAGAAATGCTGACGACGCTCTCAGGAACACGCTCGCCAAGTCCCTCCAATCCGAACAACCGCGGACTATTGAATGCCGTGGGAACGGCTGCAGTCACAGCTGCAGAGATGGAAGATGGTGTTGCCCGGCTCTTCCTCGGCCTCAACAGACATTTGCCGTCCATCAGATGCGTTGCGCCCACGTAGGTGGTACCAAGCCTCTGTTGTCCGCACAGATTCAGAGACTGCGGAGCCTCATCACCCCAATGTCGCGTTCATCCTGCAGCTGCTTGCTTCGGATAAGCTGTCTTCCCTCTTTGGATTTCGTCTCGAGATCCTTCTATTGATTTCTCTCCGTCACGGTGAATGATACGTGCGCAGCGACATCTAGAAGGCGGGACACTCATTGCAGTGACTGTCTTTTCCTCGAGTACGGTTTCCATATCCAGCACTTTGCTTCAATGTGCATCATGAAACATTCGAAAACCAGCAATGCGTGTGCCCAATGTGCTCTGCGACCATTGTGAAAATCAATGGACACGCAACGAGTAATGGTAAGGCTGAGGAGGACGAACAAATCTTCCTGCAATGACTGCCGATGGTCATCTCACTGGACCGTGGTTGTGGAAGCGGATATAGCACCTTGCATACAGCTGTCAGGCATGATGGCGCAAGGTACCAGGGGCACGTAGTAGGCATGCTACCAATGACCGGGGTTTTGGCTGGAGCGAAACACCACCTCTTAGCAAACTTCAGTCCTGGTCCGAACCAATTTAGCATGGCTGGCTTGGACGAGCTGCGAGGCATACACTGAAAAGCAACACGCCTTTGCAGCCGACATCCCAGAGACGGAGGCTGCAAATACAATCGCCTTGAGTTCACAATTGCTGTGCGTCAAGAGACGATCATATTCGAAAGCAGTCGAGCATGCAGTAGATCCTATTGCGGTATCAATCGCTTCGTACGAGACCCGATTACTCTTGCTTAGACTGTTTTGGGCTAGCATGTTCCAGGGCCAGTATATATCGTCTTCTCCTAGCTATATAGCAATTCAGCGCAGTATTCCATCGACCTGATAGTCCTACTTTATCGTTTAGCGTAGCTATCAGTGTACTACAGCAGCCCACGCTGCCACAGATCCACTTACCGAAGCTCCGCAAAGCCACATGCAAGCACTCGAAGCTCCGTGTCACGTTCGTCTACATATCGAACCCCCAAGGAAGCAAACAACAACAGCTATGCAAGAGTTTTCGTTGGGATGGAAAAGCAGAATTAGCCTAGGCGACATGTACAACTGTATTGCGAGTCGACGCCAGCCTTAGAGTGAGCAGGGCCTTGATCTGCTCGGATGCACCAAGAGCCACTCGCAATACAAGGAAAACACTCATAATCACAATAATGCAATCGCGCATTGTATCTGCCAATCTCTGATGAAACTGCAAGAGGATCTCAAAGTCCGACGATTAGCACACCATAGAAACCTGATCGATCTCCATGGCCCGCCACCACTCGGCATTCTGCCCAAGTATACAGTACCCGCTCGTATACACCATTCACACAGATTCACCTACCACTGACGTGCGCAGAAGCGCAGGCCAGGCTTCTAGAAGCGCCTTGCTGGCCGCTAATGGGGATGCAGGACCACAGCCGGACCCTCAAGAAGCACTTGCTTCTTTGGCAAGATATTTAGCTCGAAAAATTGAGGATACAAGGGATGATTTCTTGAAACCTGAGTGGACGCAGATTACGGAGTCTAACTGAACGTAATTCTGATCTTGGTCACTGCCTCCGAACCACCTCGATGCTGTCACGACACACCAACGCCATAGAATTGTCTTGGAAAAGTTGCCCTCGGCAGGAAAAACCGCAGCCATTCAGAAGCCTCGAGAAGCTTTTGCACAGCAGACAAACAGTCTCCCTGCCGTCTTATCAAGCATCGAATGCGCGCCATCGTGATCGACCCCCGGATCCGACGGGATCTGAACAACGCCCCTTGTCCATACATGGCAAATCGAGCATCCACTTCACCCACTTTGGGCTGCAGTGTGTTAAATGTGGCATCCGAAAATCCTCAGGATGTTTTCGTCTATTTATGCACAATGACTTAGCGAAGATGAGAAGTCCAAGGCCATGTAGGATGCCAACTCGGAGGACGACCGACGAAAGAGCTGCTGATGCTAAGTTTAGGAACGCTGAAAGCCACATCATCGCGAAGGATGCGGTAAATGGCTGGATGTATCATGCAAGCCATCGCAGGAGCGGGGAGCAGGAGAACGAGATAGCTTTGACTGCTGCTGTGCTCGAATTTCAACGGTGACGCTGCTACCGTACGATCAATACCTCAGGAGACAGCTCCCACTTTGGAGGTAGCATGAGAGCCTTATCCGGCTGATGGACGTTCTGAAAGTGACTTATTTCATAGGTACCAGTACCGAAACCGGTCAAGGTAGGACCGGTGGGTGATGGAAGCGATGGGGTGCGCGATGACAGTCTTGGGCAGACCGGAAGCCTATGCGAAAGGATCGTTGTGCCCAAGGATGAAGGATGCGACTAGGGTTAAGATTGACTGCAAGGCATGATGGAAGTAATTTTGAAGCGAGATGCTTCGTCGTATCGCCGTTGCGCACCAAGTAAAAGTATTGTTGCATAGTTTACGAACAATTGAAGGCAAAGTGATTCTCGAAGTGATGATCCTATGTGCTTCATGGTTGAAAAGAGCAAATTCTAGTGAAGCTTTTGCAGATGTCATGTAGCTACAACATGGCGCAGGTAAGTACCATTATAACGGTGTAGAAAGCCTTCTGAACTCTAGGGTTAAGAAGGTCGACCTTTTTGACCGCGACAACCATCCATCCAACCCGCAATGCAAGAATGCAACGCTGACAGACCCATACCCAAATCACAATCATATCCCATAAAAGGTGTAACGCTGACCCGGATGCAATCGTACATGTCGTGATGAGGAGCCCAAGGAGAAGAAGACACTAGCCAGACGACTAGACCGACAGCCCAAGTCAAGAAGAGGAAGTGACGACGAAAGACCTACACCGCCATCCCAAACTGCGTCAGGTCATTATACACATCGATACCCATAGCGACATCCTGCTCCCACCCACCTCGACCCTCAGTAGGCGTGATCGGCTCATCCGCACTCGGCGTCGGGCTCCCACTAAACATCGGCTCACTGGGTGCCTGCTCAAGAACATACGCCGCATCACCCAACGGCAGACCAGTGTGACTCATGGGAGTGTTGGGGGTGACAGGGGTGCTGGCATAGCTGCGCAGCGTAGAGAGGTGAGACGCCATACCCAGCATAGGCCGAAACGCCTCGTTGTCCTTTGGGGCATGATACGGAGAGAAGGACATCTCGCTGCGGCCGGAGTATGCACTGTATGGGCTTTCGGCACGGGGAGGTAGGGGCGTCGCACCGCCGTACACACCCTCGCCCTCCCACTCAGTGCTGTAGCCAGTGTAAGGGTCGCTGCGAGGGTCGTTGCGGTACAAGCCTGCCTCGCGAGCGCGCTGAGAACGGCGAATGTTGGCTGCCCGGCGGGCAGCATGGCCGCCTTTTGCACCAGAGGCCTGACGCTGGGGGAGGGGCTGTGTGCGGCTGGAGGAGCGCTTGTTGGCTGCTTTACTGCGGTAGCGGGTTGTGGACTTGACGCCTTCGCGTAGGGCCGCGGGGGTGAGGCGCCACATGAAGCCTTTTGTGGTTGCGTCGGCGGGAGAATCTACCTTCTCGAAGGCCTGGGGATGTTAGTACAGTGTTCATCATTCATGTTGTCGTCGAGGGTAGAGAGGTTCGAAGCGATAGCCGAAAAAGCAGAGACGAGGGATGGAGACGAGAGAAGGTATGGATGGTGAGAGACTTACGCCGTTCATGCTGAGGTTGTGCCTGATGCTGTTCTGCCACCCCTTCGTCTCGCTGTGAGCAGCCTTGTCGGTGTACCTCCTGAACCAGTCGTAGATGTCGCGCAGAACCATGGTGTGGTCTGGTGCATCGAGCAAGGCACGGTAGATGAGCTGTGCATAAGGCTGTTCCTTGTCGATCGTGTTGTCTTCCTCATGGCCTGTAGAGTATGGAGTGGACGCACGAGACATATCCGAGTAAGGGCTATTGTAGTCGATCTGGTCCTCATGCTTGATGTGGCTGGCGTAGTGGAGGTCGTAGTCGTCACTGAGTCGCATGAGCTCTGGCGTGGAGGTGTTGGGGAGCGAAGGGGTGGAGTGCATGTGCGGTGGAGAGTGGAAAAATGTTGCTGGTGGATACGAGGCGGTCATGTCGCTGGGGAGTCCAGCGAAGTCGATGCCATTGTAGGCACGAGGACAGCTGGGGCTGTAGTGCGATGGGTAGCTGTAGACGGAGTTGGCATTGTATGACATGCCATTCTGGGCTTGCAGAGGGTATCGATTGCAGGTGGAGTCTGGGTTGAAGAGGGTGGGCGTGCAGAAGGCACCTTGGGCGAGGCTGTTGTGAGGGTAGCGGCCTTGAGCTGACCACTGCATCGATTCAGGGTCGAGAATCATGGGTGCTTGCTGTGTGTGGTTGTTATCGGAGGGTGCGATTGCTCGGGTGGCAGTTGTTATAGACATTGTCTCTCCGTAGGGCTGAGGAGATGTGGAGGTTGGTGAGACTTGAGGACGAACAGGGAGCTCGGTGCAGAAGAAGTCCTTCTGGCCCTCTTGTGGTCGGATATCTCCAGATATCTCAGCAGGGGGAAGAAGGCGGGGCGAAGTCGAAAGTGGCATCACTGTTGCGCTGTCTGCCCAGTGGGCAGTGTGGAATATCGATGGAAAAGACGTGATGTGCTGGCCAACGAAATTTGTGAGACAAAAGGACTGGCAAATATCGAATCGAATGAAGGGCCACAGAACAGCGAATCTGGAAGTGAAGCGACAATCAGGACATTTGTATGTTTATCTAGGCACGGGCATCGCGCATTGGGTGGAAAAGCTCATTGTCACCTCACGGCTGCCAGCGTAGCTTGATGCTGCGGGCATGCATGGCCCACCGGCAAACAAGGAGTCGAAGAGTATCATGGAGACGCTTGGAGGCGGACGAAGAGGTGGTAACACAGCGCTGAAGTACCGGACGTAGAGGACGTGGAGACCATGGCTCCCGGGCCGAGACGGAGCCTGACGCCGCATTACACTAACGCGGTGACAAGTGGATACATATGCAGTCCCACAAGAAGAGCCAACAAATTTTCCGGTTGGGGTGAATCGGCAGGGCTGGGGCACGGGTGCATGCATATCCAGGCCAGCATGTAACGTCAAGACGGCCACGCAGTAAGCACTGCATTGACCGCTTCAACGAAGTTTTGCCTCAGTTCGACTTCATAGTGCCCTCCATCGAGAGAACGAAGACGTTGCGATCACGTCACTGCCATCACTTCCACGCCGCGTCCTCTGCAGCTCTAGCAGCGCAGACAAAGCGCTTTCGAGCCACACAATTGTCCCGAGCAAGCGATTGCCATTGGCTTTCACCTTACTCACGTGCAAACCTGACGCAAGAAAGCTGCATGCAGTGGCCGTTGACATGCATATCGACTCAGGCAGGTACCCTGCAGATCCACCCAGGCGCAGGGCGGGCTCTGGTAGGTAGGAGCAGCGTCCCGTTTGAATGTATTGCACAGAAGAGCGTAACACAGAAACTGGCCGGTGAAAGCTTCATTGGTATTGCCTCATTCGCACTGACAGCGGCGACGTTTGCGTCTGATTGGACATCAGTCATGACGCATTCGTCACCGCTCCAGATGTACATACACCGCTGGCAACCGACAGATTGTGAGTATCGTAGATGGTACCTGATGCTCCGGTGGCTCTCGTAGGACAGGCTCACCAACCGACACCGCTACCACGTTGTCGCGTGTAATGGCATAGAGATAGATGAGATGAAGCCAGGCCGTGGATGGAGCGAGAGAAGTACGCCAATGCTATGCACGTTGTGTAGCCATAACAACGCACACACGATGGGTCTTTCGCGAGCCGGGAGGTAGTCGGCTACTTTCGATAATAAACCTGCAACGAGTTAGCATGAGCATCAATGTTGCACGAGAAAGGACATACCTTTTTGAACTGGAAATGCAGTTGCAATATGCCCTGCGCGCGTTAGCCAATGTTTTGCGTCGGTGGCATGCGTAGCGTGGGATGGTGTAGCACGACTGAGCTGTCAGGCACTCACCTTATCGAAACTGCTCTTGAAGCCACGCTCCCGTTTGGCACTGTAGTCCCACTCCTTGTCGACGATCCGGAAGGCCAGATCCTCGTAGGGCGGCCCGGCGATGAAACGGATCAGGCACATGTCGTCCTCGCCGGCCGGAGCAAAGGACTCGCCACGCCTGCGTCCATTCTCGCGTTCGATCTTGTACGTGGGGGCTTTTGCTTTGTCAATGAGGTCTGGATAGAAGATATTGAACTTGTAGCCTTGGACGACCTTGGGGGGAGGGTTGTCGTGGTCGTAGTGGGTCTGGTTGTACTTGTTCCACTCGTAGCCCATCTGCACACGATTAAAATAGCGGGGCTTCCGGGGCTTGTACGTGCCAGCCCACTGCGGTCGGGCAGTCGTGACCTGTTCTTCGACCGTAAAGACCTCCTCGCCCTCTTCGACCCCGCGTGCGACCTCTCGTTCGTAGAGGGCCATGGTTGCCTGCGAGTAGTCTTCCTTCTCGACGGGTGCAAACCGCGATGCACTGAGAGTAGCCGCGCCGCTGCTGGCTGGCTTGTTGTTGGTCGTCGCTTGGTCGGACGCAGCGCTCAGTGCGGGGACGTAGCCGAGCTTCTGTATCTTTGTCCGTTCGGCGGCCTGGCGTCGTCAGTATGCGTCGACCGTTTGCAGCGATGCTGCACTCACAATGTCGTCGAGAAACCTCTGCTCGTCCACCTGGGCCAGAGCTTTGTCCTCCGTGCGCAGCTTCAGCGACGGCTCTGGGTCAAGCGACGCATCGTACGCTACTGCAGTAACTGATGGGCCGTCCAGCTCCTCTCGTAGCTTCTCCTGTAGCTTCTCCTGCACCGACAATGCTGCCTCCGCCTGTTGCTTTCGCAGGGCCTGCAGTCTTTCCTTCACGATCTCTTGCGACACGCGGCGCAGCTTTGCCTTGGCCTTCCATATGCGCAGGTTGCGTAGCAGCTGCTCCCAGTAGTCGTAGTCGATGGGCTCGTCCGAGTCCAGCTTCTTCTTGACCTGCAGCTCCAGTGTCTCAAGCTGCTCGTACGTCTTCGGGGCGAGGAGCTTGTCGATGTCGGCAGAGACCGAGTTGGTGCTGCGCGCGTCGCTCGATGCCCTCGACTGGCGGCGGAGGTCTTTGCAGATGGTCTTGAGGGCCTGTTGCAGTCAGTGCGCTGCCTGGTGACAAGTGCCGCGTCTACGTACACTCCAGTACTCTCGGTTGCTTCGATTGGTCTCCAACGTAAGGTAGTTCCCGATTTCCTTCTCCAGCTCGGACAGATCCTCGGCAGCCAGGCCCTCCAACACGCCTTCCGGGTCCACAACGTCCAGCTCGTGGTCTTCAACCTCCTCGTCGTGTGTCGACTTGGTAGGGTCGATGAAGCGCAATGTGACGGCGAGCCAGTCGATGGGCTTGGCCCGACCGCCCTTGACGCGCAGTGCTGCCTTCTTCTTCGCCTGCTGCAGCACAAAGCGGTCCTCGTCGGCGACCCAGGCCTCTTCTGCTGCATTGGTCGACCGCTTCGATGCATTGCCATGTGATCGGGAGTCCGCCGAGCGCTTGGCAGGTATCGTGGACGACGGCGGTGGTCGCTGTGGCGGTCTGTCGCGACCATTGCATTCCCATGGCGGGGGGTTGCGCGACGACATGTTGTTCAGTGTATGGTGTTGCGTATGGTGTTGCGTATGGTGTTGCGCTGTGCAGCGTGTTGACGCTTGACGCCTCGCAGGGCCCGACTGCTGATCTCGAATTCTCCACCCGCCGTGACGTACCTGCCGCGGCCGCCTGGACCCCTGCCGCCTAGCGCGTGGGCAGCCTCGCACCTCGACACCTTCCCACTCGTACACTACTGCAGACAGCACGTGCGTGCATGAGACTCATGTGTCTATATAGATGGCAATGCGCGCAATGAACTCGCCCCCATTCCGTGCCAAGCCCTGACCGCAGTCATGTCGTCCTGGCGCGTCTTGGAGCTGTCCGAGCAGCCAGACGGCGAGCCCATTCCACAGCTGCTCGTCAAGCCAGCCTTCATGTCGGACTCCTACACAGTCCACCTCACGTGCTTGACCAACATTTGGAGTGAACAGTTAGACCTGACCAGCATCGTGGATCGAGCTGTCGAGCAGCAATCACCCATCGAAGTCAGCAAACAGGATACCGCGCAGCTCGCCATCCTTCTCGACAATGTCAAGAACTCCCTGGGCAGCTCAGATGACGCCGAGTGCCGTCTCACTCGTGAAGGGAACGATAACATTACGCTACACACCGCCATTCGCCTGCCTGCGCCACTCGACTCGTTGACCTGGAAGTTTCACCTGCAAAAGCGCACTTCGGTGACACTCAAGAACGAGCTGATCCTCCCGCTGCTTGTATCGTCACACATCCAGTATGAGCGAATAAACGACCTGGTCACGACCATCGAGAACAAGGACAAGGCCATCACCCGGATGGTCGATCAGTTTGAGTCTAGCAATCTGGATCTTGCTGCAGCTTTCCCAAGCATAGGAGGCTTGAAAACAGGCCGCAGATTGATCAAACGTGAACAAGCAGCCAGGCATCTACCCGCGCTCAGACCCTTTCAACATGCTGTTTGGAGGGAAGAGACAGCACAATTGGCGGACTCAGACGTCACTACGCTAGGCTTGTTCCAGGAAGCGCTTGTGCAGTGCACACCAGACGTGCCCCTGAGCCTGGTAGCAGAGGATGGTGTTGAAGATTGGCTATCTGCGGTACCAAGCCAACTGACTTACGCCAAACCCGCCATCAAGATCAGAACGAGAGAGCTTGCACCCGTCTTCCAACCACCGAAGCATGGACACGAGTCAAGCCCTGTGGATGACGACACTGAAGACGAGTTCGAGGTCCACGAGAACTTCAAGGTCAGTAATGATCGACACCGATAGAACGATCAAGTGCTGACATAGTCTGTAGACACGAAACATACCCAAGAAATTCACCAAAGCGCCAGAGCCTATGCCACCGTCAGCTCAGCGAAATAGGGGCGCTGACGACGAGTATTCTACAGAGGACGACAAATGCCTGGACGCACCATCGAGAAGCCAGAGTCAAAGTCGAACCCATAGCCGTGCGCCACGTCAGACACGGCAACGCACCAAACCTCCCTCGCCGAAGGCGTCTGCAGAACCGGCAACATCTCCACCACCAGTCAACAGATCCAAGGGTAAAGGCTTTCGCATAGGAGGGAAAGCGAAAAGGGAGACGCCAGAGACTCGGTCAAACGAGGAAATTGTTCCACAGGAATCGACTCGTGCTTCGATGCCTCCGCCTTCGCAGGTGGACTCACAAGGCGATGCATCGCCCAAGAAGCCCAAGAAGCCGTTCAGAATTGGAGGCAAGAGCAAAGCCAGTCAAGAAGCTGCCTCATTGCAGCACGACATCACAGCCTCATCCAAAACAACCCGCGTTAGAGATGTAAACTCGCCAACACCGAAGTCTTCGCCACCGCCCATGCCACAAGAAGTTCAGAAGGAGGTGACGCCTGTGAAAGAAGTACACGAAGAGACGCCAGAAGAAAAAGCTGAGCGCAAGAGAGCGGAGCTCAAGCGTAGGAACGAGGAGATTACTAAGAAGCAAGCACAGCACAAGAAGAAGAAGCGTTTCTAGAGCATTGTGCATCACATGAGATACCCCATAACAGTACTTTGTGGATCGAGAGCACACTGTATGCTCTTTTGATTTCGCTTGAACAGGTTGTTCGTGGTTGTCGTTTGCCCCTCCACCCGTACAGTAACAAGTCTGCACCACCATATCACATTGCAACACGGCAGGATCTATGTCGGATGAAACACCGCTATCCGCGATTTTCTAGGCCTTTTGTCGTAGCCTGGAGGGGCTTCTGTGTGTTCTGAGTAGCACTGCGCTGTTCGATGTAACGTCTAGATCTTGTCGCTGCTCGATTTGCGAGTCTCCTTCACTTACTTTCCTTCTATTTCGTCATATTCACGTGGGTCTAGAGCGCCTTCCCTTCCCTTGCACCTCAACACCTTCTTGTTTACTCGACTTAGTAACCTTGACCTTGCAGCGCGTCGCGGGCGACAATCGCTACCCAGCATTATGTGTTTGTATCACTACCTCTACTTCTCATCTTGTCAACACGGCGAACTTAGCCTGATCACCTACTGCGACAAGGCGAAAGCACTGGGCCTAGCTAATCAGTATGTACAAAGCAATCAAGACGCTGGCCATCACTGTTAACCTCTAGAGACAGTCCTTTGCAGCGCAGCAACGGCGACGGCATCGACTACAGTAATCAACCAAACGACTCCTCGTCATTGTCTCAACTGTCCACATCATCTTCTGCAAGCAATCATAGCGCTTCACATTCGCATAGTCAGCAGCAACAACATCGCAACATGGCAACATTATCACCGTCCAAGGCTCGCACAACGCCCGGTTGCGGTCCCACTGCAATCAACCACGAACGGCACTCGCCTCAGCGCGCTGCCCTTATCCCACGCTCTGCGCTTCCAGAACCTGGTCAGCGAGGTTCCGTCAACAGTTCCCCACACACCGTATCTTTGTCGGCAGTGCAAGCTATGCAGGCGTTCAACAGCGACAATGCACGTGACGGCACATTTTTGCTGTCTACAGAAGGCCCCCGCCAAGGTACACATACACTAAACCCTCACTCGTCAGCACTATTCGTTGGATGTCATCTGACTCATTGCTAGGCTCACGTCACGAAGTCGTTTCGATGACAAACACTTGCGACTCTGATGTAGAAACTGTTCATGGGTCGTCTGAGGCCAGCATCGACATCATCACAGAGCGAGAAACCATTACATATGGAGATGTGAAGTTTACTAGCCCGCGCAAGCCACTTCCTGCGCAATGGCTGCCTCCGTCCACCTCGCCATCTCTTGCGACAGCACAACGAGCAAAAGCTCATCATGGCGCGAAGGGGTCCACGAGTGGCTCCCCAGCCGACCGCAAGTCTCTGCGAACTACGCGCAGCTTCATTGACATTGGCAAAGCCCACGCGGACGGGGCGTCGTTTCTTACCAAAGAAGCACTCGATGCTGTTGACGCAAACATCACGTCTGCGACGCTCCGCCGCAGTCCAAGCAAGATCCAACGCTCGCCTACGAAGGTGCCCTGGAACAGCCCGACAGTGTCGCCGAAGGTTGGAAGTCTACGCCAGAGCGCTGCATCGCCTATAAAGCCATCACCGCCACGAACGACACATCTTGGTACCCATGTGACGGCCGACCATAGGCGTGCGCCTAGCAGCATCGTTTCCAGCGGGGCGACTTCGTTTCATACTGCGCATGGCTCGCCGGTAAGGAGTCCTGCATTCTCGCAGAGCAGCTTTTCGTCAGCTGAAAACCTCCTCGACAGCCCACACTCTTACTACTCTGATACTGTGGCTGATGTCATTCTTGAGCAGATTGACCCCGGCAGCAAGCCGACAATCAGTACATCCAGAACAACGACTAGCCTTCGAACACGGGCCTCAAGACCAGAGTTGTCCATCAGCATACCACCTCCAGATACTACAATCGATGCCAAGCGGAAGTCCGCTTCTACCCTGGGGTCAGCCACAAGCAGTTCAGGTGCGAGCATCATTCAAGGTGATAGTCCGGAACTTCAGCACCCTGGAGGCCGTCAGCCTCCAGTTTCTGCGACACAGTCATCCCGCATTCCCCGCATGTCTATCAGCAAAGGTAGCAGTGCCCGTGCTCCTACCTTGAGTTCCACTCTGAAGCAAACAAAGTCAACTCAGGCCTTGCGATCGCCTAAAACTACAAATGGAGAAACGGAGTTAAAGCGCGTGACTACCTTCAAGGTCACTGGGGTAAAGTCCATGCGCCATGTTCGTACTGTTGACAGTGCAGGCTCTACGCCAATTCTATCCGAGCGGCGGAGTCATAAGTTCAGCATACCGGCAAGTGTGGCTAGTGTTGCGACAACGGAAACGGAAGCTACAGCGCGCCCTGGCAATGTCGATCTGCTCACCTCATATCTGCAAGACACAGCACTCGGAGTGCTTGAATCAGCCGACTGCCTGCCTGTATCATCTACAACATCCAGAGCGACCAGCACTTCTACTGTCAGAGCGCCTCAGACTGACAGCGGGTCCGTGATAATGGATATGGCTGCCACCTATAGTCACAGAAAGCCAGATGACCCAGGTATGTTGACTTTACTCCAAGAGGTCACGTCGCGTGGTGCAATCGCTCATATTGGTCAACTTAGGCAACGTCCACTCGAGCGATGCAGATGACGAGTATGACGATACTACAACATCTGTGCCAGGCTCAAGAGACAGCCTACAGAACGCTTCACCGACTCGGGGTCGAAGCGCGCAGTACAATCCCAGCGTCCGTCGCGCAACCACCAGCGAGATATCGATGCAGTCTAGTTCGACGTCGGACTTGCGTGCCACTGCAGTAGAGTTCGTGCCAGCTCGAAAAGACACTTCGGAAAGTACGTGAATACCTCCGCGCTTGACCACAACGACACTAACATGACTACAACAGACGTTGAAGCCCTCCAGACTCCTGCTTTTCCCGACATGTATGCTCTGGATGGCTATGGTATTCCTTGGTTCTATCATATGTATCCAGCGCCATGGCTATTTCCTTCGATATACGCCAAAGGCCGGTCGTCGAAATCGCCGAAGAAGTTTCGACCCAAGAAGCAGCGCTCAACTTTGAGCTCCCCGGTTGATGATCAGCAAGGTCAGCATGATGTGCTCCCTTCCATCGAGACAGAGATGATGGAAAGCGCGACAAACGCGGCTTCTTGCGAGCCAGATGGGTCCAGCGTGAATGCTCCATCGCCTAATGTTCAGAAATCTACGGCGGCGCCAGGCAACATGTCTGTACCAGGTGTCGCGGCCTATGTGAAAGCCTCCGCAGCTCCGTTCTCCACGCAATTCGACATGATCGCTCGCCAAGCTGCTCTTCAAACCAGCACCAATGCTATGCGTCCCCGCCAGATTGACCTGACAACCATACGCAACGTTCCCGCGCAGGATGTTGAGCACCAGGGCCATATCCAAGGCTACAACACAATGCCTTCTCGACGTCGCAATCAACGTCAAGCTGGCAATGGACTGTATGGCGGTCGCAGTAACGTCGGTGTACCTCTCTACGCAACTGCGCCCTTCCCTAACCCCGTTCCGCCAATGGGGCGCCCCTCTGAACATTCTCGCAGCGACCCCAAGCCATATGTTGGGTACGCCGTCGGTACTCAGGCTTGCGACACGATTGAGATTGAGAAGGCAGCTGAGCACGGTGGTGGCCAGGCCTGCAACACTTGTGAGCCAGACCATTAGAGTACCTCGAGGAAGTTCTTTTGGAGTAGCAATCGCGGATTTGGAGAGCCGGATAAGACTTATTGGTATCGGATGCATGCTTCCAAAATATAGTCACTGGACTTCGGGAGTGTGGTTTTGTGTAAGGTTAGAGTTGACATTCGTTTGGTCATGATTGTATTGGATAGGTGGCAATAACATAATCCGGAATCACATTGATGATATATGATTGAGTGCCTCCTGGCTTCACTGTGTTGTTTGATAGTCTCTTTGGCAGCTTTGCTCTTTGGAAACTCGCTTGCGGGAATCCAGTCGAACGTGAGGGCAACAAGGCATTATTTATCGCCAGAACAGACCTCTGGGAACACGGCGAATACCTCCGCGAGCTGCTGTACCTTTTTTTGAGAGCTGTGCGAATGATACTACTAAATGGGGAAGGCGAATGGGTGACGGCATGGTTTGGTAAGTGACATGTCTAATTCAAATGCAGTCAAAAGGATGATGAGAGGATATGCTGGCCATAAATAGTGTATGACTTGCTCCAGAGTCGTGTGTAAGAGTATGTGTACATGCGCGAATCTCGGCGCCATTGGTGTTTGGGGAATGAAAGTTGGATCAGAGTATCAAGCTGGAACCCTCCTCTTGGACGGGAAGTATGGCATGATTCAGTGCCGGACCCCCGGCAGAGGTGTTAGTGACATGGATGTGGATGAATGTAAGGGTCTTATACGGATTCTATTGTATGTGCGAGATAGAGAGGATAATATGACTGAAACACTCAGAGGCCTCTGAGTAAGATGGACGGCATACTTGCCTGGCGTGGTGTTAGTAGCGTGACAACATCCAGGCTCTCAGAATATTTCTTCCAAAGTCTTAGGCTGTGGGACTGAAGGTGTAATTCTTCCGAAGACGTGTGATCTTTCGTAATTCGTGTGTGTTGCCAGGCGGTTTGGAGATGTTGGTTTCGCGTGTCTTTGCTCTTGCGGCCGTTGCGAGAAGTCAAGGTTTTGACGCCCTTGGAGTGCGAAATAATTTGCGTCGGCTGGATAGAGGCCTTGATAGGCTTTTAATGGATGCCGCGAATAGGATGCGGGTAGTAGCAAGAAGCAAGAAACGCTAGATGGGAAATAAAATATTTGGGGGAGAGAGAAGGAGTGTGGGTGGAAGCTGAGTCGGTGTGAGATCTAAGGAGATGGAGGGATGTTCATGGGTTGAGTGTTGGGGTGAGGTATAGTATGAACAAAGGGGAGGAGATGGTGACTGAAGACTGGAACTTGACCTCATCAATTGGCTGTTCTATTTTTGATTGTTATGTAACGAGGTTGATGACTCCTACGTTAATCTGCTGTTCGCGTGGGAGTTCGAGCATCCCTTCACCCATCAGCTTTGAAGGCAGGTTCAAAAGTGCTCCGTGCTCGGAAATCTTGAGTAGCGCAGTGAAGGTTTCACATTGACAGACCTTTCTCTTGAAGATTCTACCTTCTGAAGTTCCTCGGTCGGTACAATCATACGTGCGTGCTCTGTGTTGGTGATATGCAGTACACCTAAAGTGTCTCCAGCTTCGGTCATAGGTGTTGCCTTACTCGGCCGTATACAGGTTGCAAGATCAAGATCATCATGTGCTAATCGTCGGATCTGTAGCGTGAATCCAGCTCGCCACTCAGCATAGCTGTACATGAGGTTTTCACTACGAAGTCGCGGATGCCATGAGAAAAGGACGAAGAGCTCTTCCAGAATATAGCTATCAGCATCGAGGTACTGCCTAAAATTATGATGACATCAATTAACTCTCTCTGAAAAGAAACTATACACAGGCTCCCAAATTCTTACAAGCAACCAAGAGTCTCATCCCTATCGCGTCATCCTTACTCGTGTTTATTGTAGACCTTTACATATCGAACGTGCTCGATACCCTGTGCATCCTCGTGCCTTTGCGCAACAATCTTGTACCCACCAAGCTTGGGCCACACCTTGGTCCAGCAGAACCAGTAGAATACACCAAGGAGCAGGACACCAACACCAACGATGGGGAAGACGTAGTAAGGATAACCTTCTTCGTTCCAGGGGCCACTCGGGGGGATGAAAGGTACAAGGGCCAGGAAGATGTTTGCAGCGAGGTAGAGCACAGCGACCGGGAGGTATGTGTGCCATGGCGACTCCCAGCGTTCTTTCTTATTGTAGTGCAGGTAGATGAGACCGGCGGTGACAAACCCGTTGATCCAGGCGCCAGGGTAGGTGTACAGATCGGTGATGAAGTTGTACGCAGGACCAGCTGGAGGAGCGACTAGGACGATAATAGTGATGAGCCAGTGAAGGAAGAGAGCAGGTGCTGGAGCGCCAAAAGGCTTGATGGATGCCCAGAACTTGCTAAAAGGCAAGAGACCTTCCTTTGCGAACTCCTGGTTCAGACGAGCGTGAGCAAAGCTAACTGCGAGGACATTACCCAGGTTGCTGAGGGCGACAAAGGCGGGAAGGCTGCGAGCTCCAGCACTATCACCGAAAACGTTGCGGAAGAATACACCTGCGACAATGGCTTCACTTCCAGCCAGGTCTTCTTTCGAAATAGCGGCGAAGTACGCAACATTTGCAAGCACGTAGAGAATCGTGGTGGCGCCAATGGCGAGGGGTGCAGCCCAGGTAAGCGTCTTCTTGGGGTTCTTGATTTCACCTAGAACGTAGTTGGCGTTCTCCCAACCCTTGTATGAGTAGATGATACGGAGCAGTGCCTGGCAGTACTCGTACGCACCGCCCCCACCGTAGCCCTCGCCAACCTCGAGTCTGAACGCGTTGTCGAAGTTGTGTGGGTTGGGAACCCTGCGGTGTCCAGCAAGAGCTGCGAAGCCAGAGAAGACGATGAATAACAGAATAAAGACCTTGAACACTCCGAGCACATTGAACAAGCGGATACCCCATTTGGGTGCAACAGAATGCAGTGTGACAGAGAAGGTGACACAGGCGATACCAATGCCGCGAGCGACCCATCCGTCGACTGTGCTGCCGGAGGCCAACAAGCAGTAGCGTCCGAAAGCCAGAGCGTTTCCGGAAGAGAAACCGAGCAAGATCATTTGGGCTGCGAGGACGCATGTTGCGACGTATTTGGGATGGCGATAAACCCGCTCTAGGTAGTTCTTCTCACCACCCGAGCGAGGGATGGCAAGACCGAACTCGACAAAGACAGATAGTCCAGCGAAGGTGAGGATGCCGCCGATGATCCACAAGAAGAGTGAGACACCGACTGATCCAGAGACTGCAAAGATACCCGATGGAGTGGAGAAGACTGTCAACTCTGTCAGCTAACTTCTGCCATGATTGAGAGGAACTACTTACTACCGGTACCGATCATCTTGTTCACGATGACAAAGACAGTAGCAGTGTAGCCCAGCTTTTGACTATCGTCGTAAACGAAGGCCTGGTCTGTCTGAACGCTGACATGGTCGTCTGTATAGCCGGGTGGAGGAGGCGAAGCTTCGTGGTCGGTCCCGCGAGCGCCCTTGCGGTCCTGCTCGTCAAACTTTGTGGCCATACTGGCTCCTTAGGTCTCCACGGCCTTCGCAAGTGGCCGTAACACAGCAGAGGTCGAGATAAAGTTGAGGTCCCAGTGCAGCGGTTGGGCAATAGGCGGGTCGCAATTAAAGTGGACTGGGGTCATATACATACCTCCTATGGCGTGCTTACCTTTGTCTGAACGTTCACAGCTCCAGGCTGCACTGTCCTTGCGCATAACGCCTACATCTCGCGATTGTCACACAGATTGACGTTCCAAGTCTTGGGTTAAATGACAGCCAAGCAATCGGTGCCTTCTCTCAGCGCTGAGTGGTCAAAAAAGACCCAACCAGGAAGGTCAAGTGATTGCTCTAGTGAAGCTCTCTTGGTACGCGCTGTGAGCGGTTCGTAAAGTGATCAGCTCCGATGTCGTGATCGCTCGGCATAATTCGTCTACCGTAAAAGCGCATAAGGCACCTTGGCAGGCGTAAAGTACCGCATTGTCTGGACAGAAACCTTTGTTGGTGGCTGTGGCGATTGCTTGTTGTCCGTGAAACGATTGTTCGAGATAGGAGCTGTGTACGCCTGAGGAAGGTGCTCGAGTCCTTGTGAGGCATTTCTGGAAGCAGCGGAACGTTGCCAAGCAACCGCCTCGTTGTCGCAATAGCTCGACACCCATCAGCTACTGTCTCACTGGAAGTCAAAGGCGCGAGCTGACAGCGCGTGCGTTTGGTGTTGGTGTCGCGGGCGAAATGCCTCACGCCTCGCGTCTTGCGTCTCCTCGTGCTTCGGCCCGCTTAAGAGACCGCGCTAACCAAAATAATCTTCTCAGCACCTGGCACGATTGATCACTTTTCATCCAAGTCTCGTTGAACTGCATTACATACTGAAAGCGACACACCTATCTTTGTCTTCCAAGTCATCTGCTCTCAAGGTACCAGCCATAGACGAGCAAGGTCAGTCCACTCAACACCACCGGCCTATGCCACGAGACACAAGCGGCCAGCGATGTTGCGGTGTTGATAACCTTTAGGACCCGAGGGTCAGAGAGGTCGGCCTTTTTGTATCGCTGCGTGGCCTTGACAAGCGACTTCGAAGTGGCCTGCAAAAGCGCAAAAGATGCAAAGGAATGATCGTGCTCGCCTATACGAGCTCCTCCGTACACAAAATGACTTGCGTTCCACTAGCTACAAGGCAAACGAAGCGTCAAGCTTTGCCCACACACCGTTACGAAGCTTGATTCACGCCACGGCCGCCACCATGTAGTAACGGGACGATAGCAATCATCAACTTCACCAACTGTCCGTCCACATGATGGAAACTAACACCGTCACCGTCAGATGAACGCGAAACGTTCATCGATTTCATCTCGTTTGGCTCATTCGAGTACCTTTACCTCAGCCGCTCATTGGTGGATCATCTTCACCCACACTCCCCACAAACCCCAGGAACCACGATGTATAGCGTCAAGCCACACCCCGCGTTCGACAAAATCCTTGAGCTTCTTGATTGGATCATGCACCGAATCATGAGTCGAACAGTGGTCTTCCGCGGCTCATGACGGCGTGTTTGGAGGCTTCAAGGAGATTGTGCCTGCGCGTCCGAACGGCGGCGATGGTAGATACCGAGTACCCATGCACCAATTTTCCCGTCATGCAATGTACCCGGCTTCGAGATTTGCACCCCCATGAACGACCTTGAGCTATATAAGACGCCGTGCCCAGACTTCTGTCGAGGACCACGTTGAGATTCCTGTGCCTGAGCGCGATTCAAAGTACGATCATCAACTCAAGATGCGTCTTAGCTTCGCACTTGCGTGTCTACTCGAGGCAGGTTCGGCATTGTCAACAGTGAATCGCAAAGCATGCCAGCAACCTACAAGGGATCCTCTAGATGGCTGCCCAAAGAACACGTTACTGGTCGGGCCTGGTCAGAAGTACACAACTGTCCAGTCTGCGATCCTGGGTCTTCCAAACAATACAGCTACGTCGCACATCCTCGTCCTTCCTGGCAACTACACCGAGCAAGTCAACGTCACCCGTCCGGGCCCAGTGTACCTTTTCGGTCAGACGAAGTTCCCGAACGATCAGAGCAAGAACGCGGTCAACATCATTTGGAGCAATGCTACTGGTAGTAGCATCACACCCAACATCGACAACGCCTATACATCTACACTCACAGTAGCACCTACCTTCAATTCTAGCACGACTGGTAGTGGCCCTACTGGCAACCCCGTCCCAGCCGACACACCGTTCGGAAACACGGACTTCAGAGCATACAACTTGAATTTTGTCAACGACTACAGGCCATATGCTGCTGGACCAGCACTTGCTGTGTCGGTGAGCTACGCCAACACTGGCTTCTACTTCTGTGGTTTCTACTCGTACCAAGACACGGTAAGCACTCATACTAGTTATTTTCTCGGCATCACTGATCAAGAAATCAGGTATACATAGGAAAGCTTGGCAACGCCTACTTCTATAAGAATGAAATCGCTGGCCAAACTGACTTCTTCTATGGCTTCGGCACTGCATGGATCCAGTCTAGTCTTGTGACTCTTCGTAACTGTGGCGGCGGCATCACAGCTTGGAAGGGCACCAACACCACTTTCGTGAACAAATACGTGAGAACTCTAATGCTTTAAAAGTCTAAAAATGCTGATCGATCCAGGGTGTCTATATCCATGACTCCAAGGTTCAAAAGGCGAACGCATCCCTCGCACTGACTGGAAAGTGCGCTCTTGGCAGACCATGGAACGCTCTGCATCGCTCCATCTTCGCCAACACCTACCTCGATGACTCCATCCAGCCTAACGGCTACATTGAGTGGAGTGCTTCCGAGCCCCGCGTGAACGCTAACACCACCATGGCCGAGTACAAAACTTACGGGCCTGGTTTCAATGCCACTGGGAGAGCAGCAGGCAACGTTACCATTGTAATGAACAAGAAGCAGTACGAGCCGTACTCAACGGTCGAAAAAGTCTTCCAGTACCCTTTCACCAGCAAGGGTGGAAACACAGCGTGGATCGACACTTATCCCGAACGATAGTGATGCATCGAGCTAAAAAATTCTTATTACAATGGTACCCATCTAGTATATCATTCCAACGATACCCAAAGACCTCTTGCCTGCTCCTTTACTGCTAACTTGAATCGCTTCAAGCCCTTTACATGGTGGTACGAAAACTCGTGCTGACGCCAACATAGCGATCTCCACTACGTGACGATTCTGTTCGCACCTTCCTCCTCGTTCTCAAGAACAACTGCGTGTGTACCCCCTGTCACCGACCATCGGCCGTGCGTGTCGTACTCAGTGCCGACGTGAGTAACTTCTGTGATACCTCTCAGGTGCGTGAGCACTTCGGTCTGATGGCCACTGATACGTACACATGAGACTCTCTATGTTTGGGCAACACGCCCTCTATCTTTTACTCGAACTGGACTGGCAAACACAGGTAGGGTCTTGGTGAGTTCTGGCTCGCGGCGCAAGCACTCGCAAACGGCTCGCTACAATATTGTGAGCATGCTACTAGACGACATCTCTAGAAGTTAGCGAACACAATGCGAGTGAAAAAACAAGGAGCCCCAAAGCCATCTCAAGGAATTGTTGTCGACTGTTCACAGCTCCCGACTCACGCCTGCTTTTTCTATACCTAGGAATCGTCTCCCTCGATGCGCAAACCCGTCACAGCAGACCGCAGTACTCCTCGTATGTCATAAGGCAGGCCCTCGAAATGACCACCAAGGGGGGTTGCCAATGCAGTGCTGTGTATACTGCTATATTCTTATGGCTCGGCGTATATTTTACCATGGCCACACCGACAGTGCGGGGATGCTACAGGGCATGAGTAAGCTTGACTTATTGCAGTATCGCTATTACACTCAAACGCAAGCACCACTTCGAGGTTGCGGCGGGTTCCTGAGTCGCTTCAGGGCCATGGGAGGACCTTTTCGCAGGTTGGTTCGGTCAGTTTTCACACCGAGATACAGCAGCCATGAATTGGTTCGATGAGGATGTTGACACTTCTACAACGTAGCTCTATCTTGATACAAATTGGTATGCCACCCAACAAGGCCGCCAAATTCACTAGATTCTGCTTCAAGCTAGACCCATTGAGCGCTATCATGATATTCATTCACCGCGAGCTTAAGTCACGTTTTATGCACACATTTCGAAATTTAGGCGATGAAGGACAGGCGGAGCACAGCGTTCAGGAATCAGGGTTGCCTTTTGTTCGCTAGCGGTCCGTTGCAGCGTTTGCCAACGGTCCGTTGCAGTGTCTACCAGCGGCCCGTTGCAGTGTTTGCCAACGGCCCGCTGCACTGATAGTCCAGCTCATTCGGTTAGTTCGGTTTGCTTCACTGCTATCCCCTTCTACTATATAGTCCCGATCGATCCTCGCCATAGC